GGGTGGGGGTGGGGGTGGGGAGGGAGTCAATAGCCAATGGCTTATTTTGATTTTAAGTAGAGGTTATTCAAGGACATACCAACTAGTCGTGGAACCAGATCCCTAAATCCACAGAAGTTTTGCAGGTAACTGTGAGCAAAAGCTGTTTGACAAGAAGCAGTCTTGCCTACTGAAAGATAAGCTTGGACACACTGCAGCTTTAAGAGCTCAGGTATTTGCTGCCAGGAGAGCATAAAAGCAAGAAAAGTTTAAATGACAGTGAGCTCTGCCACAACAGAAGTGGGATGGGACTTGGAAACGGCGTGAAGTGATCACAGCACTGGCTGCTCCTCACTTCAGGGGGGAAAGCAGCAGGTAGCAGAGCCTCACACTGCTCCACGGCGCAGCTCCTGCAAGAGGGCTCATCCCTGACATGCCGGGGAGCAGAGAACAAGGAAAGGGCTCAGAAGTGTACCTGCCTTTTCTATGGCCTGGAAAATAATAAAATGAGAAGGCAAATGACCTTTCCTTCCAAGTTTACAGGAGGGATGGGGCAATTTGGACTTCACCAGAATGCCTTTAGGCTAAGGATCAAAGACCACAAATTATGGTGTAACCATAGCATCACCACCAAAAATCAGTTGGTTTTGAGGTAACCTACTAGTGCCAGTGAAAGCACCATTTTCAGTAAAAACATCAGCAGTTATGAAATTACCTTCCTCAATCTGTCTCGCAGACCTCCTCTTCAAGATTCAGAAGACAGCACAAGATTCATATTCAGATTTTTCTTCAGTTTTAACTATACCCAAAGGGAGCAGATGAGTTTGCACAGGGGCCTGTGATATTATACTGAAGCCGACAAGTTGTGAAGATAAAATGGTAACAAATGATGATCCTTTGTGACTTGAAACACAAATTTGAATCCTGCCAAAAACTTACAAGATAATTATTGTTGCCTCAATCAGAGTGGAGGCAAATATGCCAGAACATCTAGAAGAGTCGCATACCAGAAAGTGTTTTTCAAATGCTAAGGCCAACCAGAGCAGTTTGAGTATTTTAGCAAGAAACCATAAAAAGATTATTTTTCATTCCTGTCAGGACTCCAAGACTACAGCAACTCCTAAGCACCCCCACAACAGGACTTTTGTTCTGCGCGAGGCATTAGAGGAGATGCCTCAAGGAATTATGAGCAGACCACTCATTTGGCTATCTTGACATTCATGGTTGAATTCCTCTCAGTTTTAGCTTGTCCCAAGTCCTAGAGGGGAAAGTAGCGGTATTTAGAACAAGGACAGAGAAAAGCAGGAAATTTGATTGAAATGGTGGGACTGCTGTTGGAACCATGAACCCTACCCTACTTCACATGGAAGCATGGATGGGACACCAGCAATCTTTCCATGATGTTAAAGAACTAAGACCTTACCACGAGCAGTCTGAGGAAGCCCCGGGTACGCAACATACTGACATCCCGCCTAGTGCAAAGGCTTCAAACCTTATTAAATAAATACCCACAGCCACTTGCTTTGGATTCCGGAGTAAAGCTCTTTATCCCAGTGATGGAAGGCATATGGAATACATTACCATCAGAAGTTATAAAATACCAGCTCATTATGGGACATAAAAGTACTCAGGAAGAAAAAAAAAAAAAAACCAACCTCTGCAGCTATATGACTGATTAAGTTGCAAGTACTTATTATTCCCCCCTGTTTGAAAAGTACAGCCAATAAAGTCTGCCTCTGAAGAACGATTTAAGACATTACCAAAATAAGAGCAGGGGAAAGTCTTGACATAAGAAACACGTTCACTTCTGTGCAACGGGTCTTATTTTTATTGCTAATATTGGTCTGACAGAATGAAAACTAAAAATTCTCCAAGACCTGCATGGCGCAGCAAGCTCAGCCAACTGGAGAGACTGCCCGCCCTGTACCACCTCAAGTATTCACCAGTGGCAGGAGCGGCTTAGTTATTCAGTAGGAACAATGTCTAAGTTTGAGGCTTTTCAGAAGTGATTGAATGACTCTGAGTGCCTAATTTGGGGGATGTCCTTTTCCTGCTACAGCTGGGCAGCTACAGAGGTCATTGTCCTCATCTGCACACTGTTGGGCCCCTGGCCCGAGGCCAGCATTGCATCAACCCTACTGCATCAGCTGCTCCTTGTAAGCCATCCCTAAGCCCTTTCAGACAAAACAGGCTGCTTTAATTTCTTGCATCTCTTTTTGACTGAGAGGCCTTAGGGACAGCTTACAGTGAGTAGTTCAGCGTGGAGAGCAGAGGAATGGCACGTCAGGGCCAGAGCTGTAACACAGTGGCTGCTGCTGGAGAGGATATGTAATTAAACCCACCCACGGCTTTCAACAAGCCATTTCAGAAATAAGATATTTCACACACTAACACTCTGTGAACATCAAGTCTTGTATGCATTGGAGAAAAAGAAAACCCAAAAACCACCAGTCAGCTTTGAAGACTTTGGTCTAAATCCACTAAGGAAAGCTGGACTATTTCCTAGATGACCGGATGAAATCAGCCAGGGTGGGTGGCAGCCTCTTAGTTCACACCTGGAGCGCCATTCCTCTGAACTGAAATAAGGAACAGCCCATGCCCGCCCTGCCTGCAAACCTGCAAATCGAGGCTCAGCACTGGTCTTGCGTAAATATAAGTGCAAAGAGGCCTCAATTAGCTCAAAACACTGAAAGCCCTTGTGTGTCTTTGCCCACCCTTCGGGAAACTGTGCCACAATAGCTGGTGCCGAACCCTTACTGCCAGATCATTCTGCGGATTTCTACTTTTGCCCAAATCCTTTCATTAAATACAGATGAAGCTACTGCCTGCAATGTTTTTGAAGCTTATCAGTCATTTGAGGCTGCCTCCCCTTGCATTCTTGTCAAAGTAAGGACAGCGGTGATGACTTCAGGCAAGGCCCAGCGCAATGAGATGTATAAAAATAAAGCAGCAAGTTGGATTTAAAAAAAAAAAAAAAGGCAGAAAAGCACAAGTAAAAACTCTGAAACTATTGTATTGCTCTCATTTTTATTTTAAACTTATGAAGAAAGCCTACTTACAGTTACATGCTTATTAGAAGTATTTTTCCTTGTGAAGGTCCACGCTGTCATAATGTAAGAACAAAGGCACAGAATTAGCAGGGTTTATATTTAAGACCAAGGATTCACCTCATAGTCTCTACCAGCAACCAACCAAGGATGCTTTTGCAAAGGTAACAGACAAAGTACATGTATAGCAAAATTTCACCTGGCAAACCATTCCAAAACCAGCAGTTGAATTTTTGCACTCAAATCTACTTGGACTCTTAAAAATTCCTGTAAGATTTAACACAAGGCTGCCGATTCTGTATTGCTCTGTGGAAGAGGGACTCATTCACCATTATGCTGTTCTTATGGGCATGAAACTATTAGCATAGACTTTACTCATTACACTCATTTTGCTGCACCCTGTATTAATACGGGGGCTGGGGGGAGCTCTGAAGTAGTGAAGTTTTTTTTAGGAATTAGCAGTTCAAGCTCTACTACTTGAAGGCTGTTACCTTTTCACCTGAGAAACAAAAGCAGACCACAAATATTGGATTTTACTGAACTGTTTAACACCTAAAGAAACATTCACTACTAGACAAAACTGGCAGAGA